GTCAGCCAGACAAGCAGAGATGCGCGCGACGACCTGGGTCTCTGAGCGGGGAAAGGACAGAATTAATTGGGTGTCGTCAGCGTAGCAGTGGTAAGAAAAACCATGCGGGCTAATGACTGATCCGAGCGAGTTTGTGTACAAGGAGAAGAGGAGGGGACCAAGAACAGAGCCCTGAGGGACCCCCCGTAGTTAATTGACAAGGGTCGGACTCAGACCCTCTCCAAGTCACCCTGTAGGTACGGTCTTTCAGGTATGAGGTGAGGAGGGAAAGTGCAGAGCCTGAAACTCCAAGTTTTTGGAGAGTGCGAAGGAGGATCTGATGATTCACCGTGTCGAATGCAGCAGACAGGTCCAACAGAATGATGACAGAGGAGAGGGATGCAGTTTTGGCAGTGTGCAGTTCCTCCGTGACAGCAATGAGAGCAGTTTCTGTGGAGTGACCTGCCTTGAAACCAGACTGGTGCGGATCCAGAAGGTTGTTCTGATTGAGATAACAGGAGAGTTGTTTAAAGACAGCGCGTTCAAGTGATTTAGACAGGAACGGGAGGAGAGAGACAGGCCTGTAGTTTATAACATCAGACGGGTTGAGAGTGGGTTTCTTTAGGAGAGGGTTTACTCTTGCCTCCTTGAGACTGTTTGGAAAGTGACCAGAAGTTAGAGAAGTGTTGATGAAATGGGTGAGAAACGGTAGAATATCAGGAGCGATAGTCTGAAGGAGGTTTGAAGGGATAGGGTCCAGAGGACAGGTGGTAGGGCGGGCAGAGGTAATGAGGGTAAGAACCTCACTTGGAGAGAGAGGGGAAAAGGAGGTTAGTGTGTTGGTGGAAGGAAGGTCTGGTGACCCAGCGGTGAGTAAAGGTGAGTCAGAAAAAGAAGAGCGAATATCATTAACCTTTTTTTCAAAGTGGGTAACAAAGTCGCTTGACAGAAGTGAGGAGGGGGGAGGAGCTTTTGGAGGGTCCAAGAGGGTGGAGAAGATGGAAAATAGTTTTTTAGGATTGGAATAGGAAGATTGGATCTTATCTTGAAAGAAAGTGCTTTTTGCCTGAGAGATCGAGGCAGAGAAAGAGGAGAGGAGAGCTTGATAGGTTAGGAGGTCGTCACGGTGTTTGGATTTCCACCATTTCCGCTCTGCTGCCCTAAGGACGGTTCTATTAGCACGCAGTGCATCATTTAGCCAGGGAGCCGGAGGGGACTGACGAGCCTGCCGAGATGTCAGAGGACAGAGCGAGTCCAGAGTGGATGAGAGAGTAGAGAGGAGAGTTTCTGCAGCAGAGTTTGGAGGCAGTAGTTGGAACGAATCAGAGGAAGGGAGGGCTGAGAGCACCGACGAGGCAAAGGTAGAGGGAGAGAGGGAGCGAAGGTTACGGCGGACAAGTGTAGGATGGGAAGAGATTAGTTTGTTATATTTGGAAAGGGATAGAGAGAATGAAATGAAGAAGTGATCGGATGTGTGGAGCGGGTTTACAGAGAGGTTAGAAGTAGAGCGCAGTTCCTTGAGAATATGAGATCAAGGACATTGCCAGCTTTATGAGTCGGTGGGGACGGAGAGAGTGAGAAAGCAAAGGCGGTTAACAGAGATGTTAGTTCGTCTATCTTCCCCATCTGGAGGTTGAAGTCTCCGAGAAGTACAGCGGGAGGGCCAGGTTTCAGGGATGTGTGAGAGGAGATGATCTAATTCCTCCAAGAAGTCCCCCAAGGCGCCTGGTGGACGGTAGAGAACAACAATGGTTAACTGTATAGGATGGGTTACTGTGACGGCATGGAACTCAAAGGTGGAAGGAGTAAAGTTAGGTAGCTTGAAGAGGGAAAAGCTCCATTTGGGAGAGAGCAGGAGACCAGTGCCACCTCCTCTGCCAGTGGGTCTGGGTGTATGGGAGAAGGAATATGCAGTGGAGAGAGCTGCTGGGGTGGATGTGTTGGATGGAGTAATCCAGGTCTCAGTTAGAGCAAGGAAATCCAGAGACTGCAGGGAGGTGTAGCCAGAGATGAAGTCAGCCTTAGGAACAGCTGACTGGCAGTTCCACAGGCCACCTGAAACTAGATGTTGGATCTCAGTGGAGCATGTGGGATAGACGAGAGCAGGCCGGTTATATCGATTACGAGATACACGGGGCCAGTGATAATTGCGAGAAGACACATGAACAGGAATGGAGAAAATACACATGATTATAGCATGAGGGGCTAAACAACTAAATTAAAAAGTAAAAACACCAACGATACTTAGCTCAATCAAAGTAGGATTTGCCTCCTCTTTGCCTCCCTCGTGACTCCTGTAGGACTCTAATGTCTTTGTCAGTCTTTGACTCCTGTAGGACTCTAATGTCTTTGTCAGTCTTTGACTCCTGTAGGACTCTAATGTCTTTGTCAGTCTTAGCCTGTCTGCCGCTGAAGCTGACGCTCCAGGAAAGAGCTACCCGAAATGGACGCCTGATTGCTCAGTTCTCACAGCTGAAGTTAATTAGTTAACTATCTACAGCTGATGGGCGACAATAGACTGGCCCTGCCTATGTTAATAATGCAGGCTTGAGTGCTGAGAGCTGTAAAGCAGGTTTCGCCTGAGCAGATCTGAGATTTAAAATCTCTCAAAAGCGATTTAGCCGTTTAAGCTACAGTAACAATTATACAGAGTCGAATAAATGAAACCGAGAAGTCTAATTAAACAAGAATATAACTTACAGTGGTTGCTGCGTCAATAGGTAATGTTGTCACCGGGTCCAGATGCACACTGAGTTCATCAGTTTCTAAATGCGGTATTTAAATGCTTTTTGAGCTAAAGGATGACTGAGTCATGCGGTTCTACTTCACGCAATCAATAGACTGGCCCTGCCTATGTTAATAATGCAGGCTTGAGTGCTGAGAGCTGTAAAGCAGGTTTCGCCTGAGCAGATCTGAGATTTAAAATCTCTCAAAAGCGATTTAGCCGTTTAAGCTACAGTAACAATTATACAGAGTCGAATAAATGAAACCGAGAAGTCGAATTAAACAAGAATATAACTTACAGTGGTTGCTGCGTCAATAGGTAATGTTGTCACCGGGTCCAGATGCACACTGAGTTCATCAGTTTCTAAATGCGGTATTTAAATGCTTTTTGAGCTAAAGGATTATTTATTATATATTACCCCCTCAGGCTGATTTTGGAAAAGGACATTAACCCTTGTTTGGTGTTTTTCCCTTATTTATCTAATACAAATGACATGATAAATGACTTGTGTATATGTGTGTAACGGCCCGTACACACAGCAGCTTTTGGCGATTTGTCCACCGCTTCCAGCGCGTCTCCGCCCATTGACTTTAAATGGGGATGACGTCACTTTCCCTCGCTTGTCGCCGAACTGCATTGTGGGGGGGCGAGGCGAAGATTTCCAGGATTTCCAGGATGTTCAGGATTCCAAAGTTGAACAATGTTCAACTTTTGAGGCTGAGCTGGAAGCGACAGCCAATCAGATCCGTTTATGCAAATCTGACAGTTCAAGCGCTAGCCAATCAAACCGCGTGCAAGCTGGGAGAACCAGACCCACAGTTCATTTCTATATTCCACAAAAATGGAGGAGAACTTAGTTATTGCGGTAGCAAATCACCCGGTTCTTTATGACCAGTCCCTATTTACTTACCGGGATACAAACCGGAGGAGCGAGGCATGGAGGGAGGTGGCAGAGGCAGTGGGTGAAACTGGTAGGTTTTCGCTTGTTTGGGGATTTTATATCCAGTTTACTTCGTTGCTAGTTTACTTCGTTGCTAGCAAGCATAGACAGTATCATTAGCCAGCATGGAATGTAGCATAAAATAGCACCATAAACATTAATCTCATAAATGTTCAAAATGTTCAAAAAATAAATGTTCATCATAGCCCTTCCCACACTTTACCTCTGCCACATCAGACTATATCTGCATCACATTAATGCACACAATGTCATATTCCTTTATGCACATATTCTGATTTCACATTTCTTAGTTTATATGCAAAAATGCATTCATAGCATTCTATTTCCATGTAAATTACTGCTTTATGTAATTGTTATCTTATTGCAATTTAACTGTATTTTATTACGGTGTAAAACATTGTGTTTTATATTAGATTTCTTGTTTTTTATATATGCACCATGACATCAAGTCAAATTCCTAGTATGTGCAACCTACCTGGCAATAAACCTGTTTCTGATTTTGATTCTGATAAAGTGTGACAAAACCTTTTATGCAATTGACAGTGATAAAGGGATTAGGTTTTCATTAATGGAGGAATCATTTTCGTAAATTAAAGAAATTAACTGTATTCTTTCATTTCATTTTATTAGACGAAGTGTGCAGAAAGAAATGGAAGACACTGAGGGACAAGTACAGGAAGGAGAAACAAATTGAAAAGGAGGGGAAAAGAAGCGGTGCAGGGTGTTCGGGGGGACATGTGGTGTGGTGCAGTGGGTTGTGAGTTGGTATTTGGATCAGGAGGTCACAGGTTCAAACCCCACTGCAGTCAGCATGTCGTTGTGTCCCTGGGCAAGACACTTCACCCCAAATTGCTCCTGTGGGGATTGCCCACAGTATTCAGTATGTAAGTTGCTTTGGATAAAAGCGTCTAACAAGTGACATGTAATGTAATAAGCCCTGGCATCTCACGGCAGTCATGACTTTTTTAAACCCATTCATGATTGACCGTGAGACGTCCAGCAATGTCCCCCGGCAAACCCTTCCTCCATCCACCCTGGTGCCAGAGGAAGAGAGCCAGGAAAGCCAGCCAGCCAGTCCAGCCAGTCAGTCAGCCAGCCAGCCAGCCAGCCAGTCAGTCAGTCAGCTAGTCAGCCAGCTAACAGCCAGCAAGCAGAGCAGACAGGACAGGAGGAGGCGAGTGTTGCGATCCGGGGGAAAAGGGGAAGTGAGATGTCCTCCTTTCAGCAAAGTTTGCTGTCTGCCGTCGGTCCTATTCTGGCCATGCCACCACCACCCCCACCAGTGGTGGTGGAGGAGGACGAGGACCTGTCATTCTTTAAGAGTCTCTTGCCCACCATGAGAGTGATGTCAAGACAGAAGAAGTTAAGAGTCAGATTTGACATTCACAAGGTGGTTTTAGAGGCAGACCAGGAGGAAAATTGATTACTGATACTGATCCACATTACATGTTTTTACACTCATCACACACTTCACTGACAACATTACATAAATAAAAGTTATTTAAAGTATGTTATGGCTCTACTGTGTCTTCACTTGTTCATGTGGTTTGTCAGTTGCAACATACCAGAAGCTTCATGTATGTCGATATATAATGTGCCGTCTTCTGTAATTGTTCAGGTGAAAACCTTTTGTAATCATGGGTGGTTTATCAGTAAAAACAGGGCTGAAGGAAAAAGGTTGTTAGTCATATCATAATATAATAATATCAATTCAAGAAACATGTTTATTAGGAATGTTTGATTTTAAAATGGCTCATTTGGAATATTTGCTTTTTAAAGAAAATATGGGTAGCTCTTAAAAGAGCTTTTGGTTTGTAGACAATGGTGACCCTCACCCTACACCACATTCTTCTGCCATCGCACTGCACCCTCCTCATTGAAGTAGGAGCTGAAGGTCTCCCTCAGTTGGATGGATCTGCGTGTGGCATTGTTGGAGCCCATCCTCGGTGCATCACGCAGGGTTGAAGGAGCTGGAGCTTCATCTGTGGACTCTGTGATAGGTGTGCATGATGGCCTTCCCATCGTCTTCCTGCGGAGGAAGTTGTGCAACACACAGGTGGCCTTCACACACAACTCTACTACCTCCGGGCTGGTGGTGATGACACACCTGAACATTCTCCACTGGGATGAGAGGATGCCAAACGCACATTCAACCACCAACCTGGCACGGCTGAGGCGGTAGTTGTACATCCTCCTCTCGCGTGTGATCTGGCGTCCAGGGAACGGACGCAGCAGGTTGTCCAGCAGCGGAAAAGCCTCATCTCCTACAAACACATGGGGAAGAAGGCCGAGCCGCTCTGCTCCTGGGATGACGGTATCAGGTGGTAGCTGCAGACTGCCATCTCGGAGGCTCTCTCCAAAAGCGGAATTCCGCAGGCTCCCACCGTCGCTGCTCCTTCCAAAACCTCCGACATCCACTACCCTGAAGAGATACTGGGCATCCACGACAGCCAGCAGTACCAAGGAGTGGGTGGACTTGTAGTTAAAAAACAGGGACCCAGAATTTGCCGGAGCCTGGATCACCACGTGCTTCCCATCAATGGCACCAACGCAATTCGGAAAGTTCCAGTGCTCCTGGAACTCAGCAGCGATGGCTCTCCAGTCCTCGGTCTGTGGTACCGGCATGGTCTCCTCAACCAGGGCGGTCCAGATGGCACCCGCAACCTCCCTGACGATGACAGCCACTGTTGAATGCCCGACCCGATAGCTGAATGCTATTGTCCTGTATGAGTCACCGGTTGCCAGGTACCTGAGAAAAAATATATATACATGATTAAAATAAATATGTCAGACCCCACATACACACACACACAGATCCCCCCACACACAGACCACAGACACACACACAGAGATCCCCCACACACAGACCACAGACACACACAGAGATCCCCCCCACACACAGACCACAGACACACAGAGATCCCCCACACACAGACCACAGACACACACACAGAGATCCCCCACACACAGACCACAGACACACACACAGAGATCCCCCACACACAGACCAGACACACACACAGAGATCCCCCCCCCCCACACACACAGACCACACACGCCATGTACACAGGGGAGCAAGACTGTGTTTACCTAGCTATCTAAATTAATGTCATCCATCTGAACTAAATCAAAGACTTCAGTCATCATTCATACATGGCATGCATTCTCTCTCTTTATATACAGAGTCATATTAAAGAAGTAGAAATACGCAAAACGTACCGTAGGCAGATGGCGAGTCGCTCGGCGGGTGCAATTGAAAAACGCATATGGGTGTCAGCCTTTGTAATCAGTGGACCCACTTTCTGGAGCAACTCGTCGAAAACGTGTTTGCTCATCCGAAAGTACTGCTGAAACAGCAGGTCATCCATACGGAGTTCTTGGACCAGAACGTGGTATTCCCCCCGTTGCAGACGTTTCGGAGTATTGGATGTACCCAACAGCGACGAAAACTACATGGCCTCCAGCGAGACATTGCATCCACTAAATTCACCCTTGCTACTACACTTGCTACCCTTGCTACATAACCGGCATCCATTTTGACAATAGTGTAGAAGAACCGGGTTTTTTTGCTTTGTATGTCGGGGGCGGGATATTCATGTGATTGGTTGTTGGTCGCGAAATCCCCAAGCTGTCAGACACGCCCAGCTCCAGGATTTTCAAGATTTGGTCAAAGCTGCTGTGTGGACACACTTGTGTTTCTGCCCCTGCCATTGCTGCACAAGGTTGCAACATTGTAGATAAATACAACCACCGACACCTGTCTGCTCTCACATTCTTCTATTCTGCAAATTTGGGGTGGGACACAATAAATAAAGCTTCGCCAGTTTGTTTGTTTTATTGCACAGTCAAGACATAACAATAACGGCATCACGCTGTTCCAGGTGTGTCGTATGCATGTAAATTGAAGTTAAATAAAAGTGTGAAATGTAAAATAAAGTGTAAGTAGTTTCAAAACAATGTAACAGTGGCAATATATATAGCAGCAGACACAACTTAGTGCAAGTTAGGTGTCAGTATTAAAAAACAGTGGCAATATATATATATAATAACAATAGAAAATCGTTACCACTCTTATTATTGTGGTCTTTAATTTTGTTAGAGTCCTGCCTGAGTTTCTTTATTTTTACCCGGCATCCGTGTGCACTGTGCACGATTCCCAGCTCAAGTAGCTTTTGCGAACATCGCTCAAAACATTTGGAGTTGGGAACTGCTTTCTGTAGAAGCTGCTGCATCCCGTCCTCAGAGTAAATTGGCAGAAGCGCCGACACTTCCTCATCATCCCACCGCTCCGGTGTTGTAGTACGTGTGGTCATAACTGCTTTAAAGTACAAAAAAACTACTCGCTCAGGTGTGGATGTGGTTTTGTAGCGAGGAAAAAAATGGCTGCCTAACAAAAAAAATCAGAGTCTAACGGGGCGTGGTTTGCAATTCACCCAGCCAATAGAAATAGAATAGAAATTGGCACTCTTTTATCACCAGGTTCGTACCACCTCTCTAGCCAATAGAGTCTGGCTGCAGACCGCAGCAAGGAGGCGGATCGTATAGGGGCGGATCGTATAGGGGCGTTTCCTAAAGGGTTATGAACCCCGCCCCCACGTATTTCTTAAAGGTATATGACGCTCTCTGTTTCTCGTTTATTTTAATGCTTTGAATGAATCATAAACGAACTTTGAAAAATAATAATTATAATTAATTTGCATAAAGAATGAAGAGTATACAACCCACAGAGAAGACAAATTCATAAATTGTAGGCATATCATTTTTCACTGTTTGTGCAGTGGTAGTAATTATTATTCAAATCAATCAACTACGTTTTATGGAAGATATTGCTGTATATCATTTAACAACATGAGTAGAGGTTTCTGTACACCTAAAATACTGAAGTTTAAGTTACTGTCCTGATGTGTATCATTCATTTGTTCATGTTGTGTCTGGTGGTAAGATTAATAAAAAAAAATTAACAAAAATGTAGTACATACAAAGAGGAAAGTCTTTATTAAACAAACATTTTATTCTTGGAAGGTGCCTCCAGCATCATAGAAACAGCCAATGCTGCAGAATCCTGCCAGCTCATCTTCCGAGTAGTTACATTCTTTAACCTGTCTTTAATAGTGTTAGGTGAGCTATTAAGCATGTGTTAGATGACCAGTGACTCTTCTCTAATCATATTACTTTACCACATTTCTGATGATGCCATAACTAAAGTTACATAATTATAGAAGACACATCCGAAGTGTTATTTTTACATATTGATTAGCAGCCGACATTTACTGAAAGGATGCGTCCGTCTCTCGTCTGGTTCATTACAACTAGTAGTTACAAACTGTTACAGTTACAACCTTAATCAGTACCGCACATCTTATTACTCAATTCAACCAACCAAGCTAGCCATGTTGTCTATCCGAATCCATACCATATTATTTGATTAAGTTACAGTATGTAGGGCAGGCCTACTTATATTTCCAAGATAATACAACAGTACACAACAGTACACTAGCATAATGCTAAGTGCTGGTTTGCATCACAGCATATACGCTAACCTTAGGTCAATTAGATGATCAGCTTTGGTAACACAAATCAGTATTGTTACCGAGCCTGCTAATCTATTGACCTATCTAAATTTAACGTTATTACAACAGTAGAGTAGGCCTGGTTGCAAACGGGACTATAGGCCAATGTGTTTATACCATCATGCTAAGTTAGCATTTAATACCACAAACATTTTTACCACATACAACTATTATTTACTTTATTAACGCTTAACGAGGTTGGACAGTCGATGTTGTACTTTGATAACGAGACAATTGTGTGTTAAGAAAAATGACATTACAATAAATATAAACATGCATCTCTGGAAAATACTATTACCGCTGTTTCAACTTGTTGTTCGGCCATCGTGAAAGAACGACTTATTCTACGAGGATTTATAAAAGCAGCTGGAATCCCTTAAATTGCATTACTGCCACCTACAGTATGTATTTCTGCTGAGTGTCATTATTCTATTGGATAAAAAAAGTTAGGAAACGCCCCTATACGATCCGCCCCTATACGATCCGCCCCTATACGATCCGCCTCCTTGCTGCGGTCTGCAGCCAGACCCATCTCTCTCTAGCAGGGACTGAAAATGGCCAAAAGAGTTCCCGGCACTGAGTAGTCCCAGCGGTGTGAACGCGACATTATTGGTACTAACGGAACTAAAGAACCAAAATACCAGGGAAAGTCCTGCGGTGTGAATGCGGCTTATGATATGTTTTATAATGATTGATCATTAAAGTGTTCTCAAAGCTGGTAAAGGTGCAGCTAGTTTGAAGGACTTTGTATACTGCAGGGTAGCTTGTGAATTTACTCCAGGTGTACTACAAGTACCTCAGATGTGAAAATTATACTTAAGTACAGTACTTGGGTAAATGTAATTAGTTACTTTCCACCTCTGCCTTTGTATTACTCCTACCGAATAAATCCCTTGTTTTACAACATATTTGTGCCTTTATCTTGCACTCATCTTCCTCCCTGTCTGAACTATAAACAGAGGCAGATGACTGGTTACACTAATATTAGTCCCAGTTTCCATTTTTAGCCTCAGTGTGAACAGGACCGAGGTCAGGCAGCCCTCCTCACACCAGTGTCCCCAGAAAAAATAACTGCTTCCCATGCACCATCGTCTCCGCTTCCTGTTGTCCCCCCACGCCTCCAAACACACACACACACACACACACACACACACACACACACACACACACACACACACACACACACACACACACACACACACACACACATCCTGTCATGACAAGGCTGAAATTAAAACAGGCTGTTAGTTTGGACCCCTCCACTGCTGACAGTGAGATACGGGCATTTTCTCAGCAAACAGGCAGTGGTGGTTTAGACTGATGGAATACAACTTGGTGTGTTTTTTCACTTGCAACAATAACACTGATGAAGACAGAATGACTTTAAAGGCAGCTCTGGCTGCAGCTTCTGCTTCACTAGCTTTAAATGTAAATAAAACAGATCCATTCTGCCAGGTTATTAAACCATGATTGTTTTAAGTGTGTTTGTTGTATCCACTCTTGCACCCTTTAAATCACACCCTGAAGGCAAAGCTACCAGAAGCAAATACAACAAAGGCTATAGTTTAATTGAGTTTTAATGAGATAGAGAGAGAGTGTGTGTGTGTGTGTGTGTGTGTGTGTGTGTGTGTGTGTGTGTGTGTGTGTGTGTGTGTGTGTGTGTGTGTGTGTGTGTGCATGTGCACGTGTGTGTGTGTGCGCATATGCACGTGTGTGTGTGTGTGTGTGCATGTGCACATGTGTGTGTGTGTGTGCATGTGCACGTGTGTGTGTGTGTGTGTGTGTGTGTGTGTGTGTGTGTGCATGTGCACGTGTGTGTGTGTGTGTGTGTGTGTGTGTGCGCATGTGCACGTGTGTGTGTGTGTGTGTGTGTGTGTGTGTGTGTGTCAGTTGGGATTCCCAGGAGTTCTTGTTAGCATTATAACTGGACTACAGTGGTGCTCAACTTGTTCCCTCCGCAGACCTTTACTGTAATATAGCAGAAAAACAAAGCAAAAACATGCTGATGGAAGTGATGTAATCAAAGCTTCTCTGGGCCTTGTGTAGGTTGCCATTTTATCAGGGTGTGTGTACGTCTCTGTGTGAGTGACCAACTAGCTAAGCGCTGATAATGCGGTCACAACCCACAGTCTGTTGCCAAAAACAAAGATACAAATGGATGTCACAGCTTATCCTGATGTGATCTAAGGCCTACTTTCCCAGCATGAAACAGAACCTTGTAATATCAAAACATGAAGAACGTCTATAGTGTTACAATCATTTTTATATTAATTAATAGGAATTAGCTAAACATTTACTCAACAGCAAGGGAACATCTAGCGTATCGATCCCAATAGTTAACAATGCTGATGTTCCTTAGTTTCAAATAGGTCAGTTCACAGGTCATGAATGTTTAAGGACAACACTGCTGTCAGGACAGCTAGCTGCTGGCTGCCTCTCAGCTGACACCATGTTGACACCTGTGTGGAGGAATCTCTCAATCAACCAGTGAATTCCGTTTGGAGAACCTTAAAGGTTGTTTTGACATAGAAACTAACTTGGAAACGGTGCAAGTGCCTAAAATGGTTTAAATGGATCTGTTTCAGCTTCACCAAGCAGGTGAACGGGTCACAAAGTGAATCTGTAAACAGTGTCACTTAACTGCACAGGTTCAGATGGAAGTAGAGCTACCATCACAACCAATGTTATTACAGAACAACATCAATTGATGGCAGATGCTTTCGGTTAACAAGCGTTATCCTATAACCATTTATTTAAAAATAATTGACTAAACTTAACAGAAATAGGAGAAGTTTGTGTTTTCTAAGAGGAAGTGAAGACTGGTTATTCAAATGAATGTTGTTCCATTAGAATCACATTTCCAATAATTAAAGTATTTTATAATAAAATAATTGTAATTGTTGGAAGAATCCTAACAAAGCCTCACATTTTATGGTAACGACTACCTAAAGCTAGCTATAGTTCACATATGTGACTGTCCCACCTCCTTTAGTATCCTTGAGTGGAAAACTACCAGCCTGGGACCACGCACTCCTTTATTCAGTCCATTTACAGAAACCTGACAGGCAGGTTTAAGGTGTTGGTGC